AATTATACAATTGCTTCTTTTTGTATATATGTATAGCGAATTATACATATATATGTTTGTTATAGAGCACAATTATGCAAACTTTGCTATAGCATACAAACATGATTTTTTTGTTTGCTATATGTGAAAGTTGCTCAACTTTAAATGCTCATAACTTTGGTCTTGGATGTCCATTTAGGACGATTTTTTTTTAATTTGGGTATTTCATCGATATTTATTCGACCAAACAGCCATAAGGCAGTTTGACCAAGCAAATTTTCTCATAAATGCCTTTTAACCCATCAAATTTTGAATTCCCCCCAATTTGGCTGAGGATTTTTATTCCTTTTTTGTAAAAATCTGATGAAAAAAATTTGATTTTGAGTTCGAAATACCTTGGTAATGCGTATGTGAATGTCAATTTTAATATTGAATAATCAATTGTAGCAAACGAGGTACTTACTATTAGCGGACAAAATAAATAATAAAAAATGTTTATTAAATAATTACATGATAATTGCCTTTTTGGTTTAGCTTCTACTGTTTTTTGACCTCCACAATGTAGGTTCAAACCTAGAAAAAGACGATTAAAATAGTACGATTGCCCAACAAAACATTGTTGTACATGAAGTGAGGCCTAATGTTCACTCCCTTTTGATTTTTGAATAGGTTGAGTATTCACATGTTGCCGACTCGACACGTTGTGGTTAACGACGTATGGTGGTCGGGGGAAATGGTGCCCATTATACGTCCAGGATCCGCTTGTAATGTTGTGGTGCAGTATCGTGTGCAGGATTATGAATGAACGCCTCTAAGTTAAAATTTGGGGATAGAAGCGATGTATGCCCCCACCATAATACGCTTGCCGACCAGCAATAAGGACCTCTGGCCTCCAAAGGCATGTGTCGTTATCGTGGTCGTTGTTGCAGAAGCATCGTGATGCTCCGGGCGCCAGATCCATGGGATAATACACACACAAAATCGGGAAATTTGGGCGGTTCTTAGAAAAGGGCTTGTAAATGTGGAAATGGACGTTAAAAAATGGTGTGAGTATACATGAAGGTTCCCTAACTCATTACGAGGTCCTAATAAAGTTTTATGAGAAATTTTTTTTGGGTGCTCTCGGTGTCAGATCCATGGGCTAATACACACGAAAAATTGATGAATTTGAGTGGTTCTTAATAAAGGACTTGTAAATGCAGAAATGAGCGTTAAAAAATGGTATGAGTATACGTGAAGGTTCCCCAACTCATTACAGAGGTCCTCATAAAGTTTTTTGAGAAAAACAATTCACATGCTCCGGGCGCCAGATCCATTTGATAATACACACGAAAAATCGGGAAATTTGGGCGGTTCTTAAAAAAGGGATTGTAAATGCGGAAATGGGCCTTAAAAATAGTGTCAGTATACGTGAAGGTTTCCCAACTCATTACAGAGGTCCTCATAAAGTTTTTTGAGAAAAAAACTCTAGGGGCTCTGAGCGCCAAATCCATGGGCTAATAAACACGAAAAATCGGGAAATTTGGGCGATTCTTAAAAATGTCTTGTAAATGAGGAAATAGGCGTTAAAAAAATGGTGTGAGTATACGTGAAGGTTCTCAACTCAGTACGAAGGTCTTCATAAAGATTTTTGTGAAAAGCTTTCGGGTGCTCCAGGCGGTATATCTTGTGCTAATACACACGAAAATCGGAGAATTTGAGCGGTTCTTAAAAAATGGCTTGTAAATACGGAAATGGGTGTTAAAAAATTGTGTGAGTATACATGAAGGTTCCCAAATCATTATGGAGGTCCCATAATATTTTTTAAGAAAAAAACGGGTGCTCCGGGCGCTAGATCCATGTGCTAATACACACGAAAAACAGGAAATTTGAGCGATTTTTAAAAAGGGCTTGTAAATGCGGAAATGGGCATTAAAAAAATTGGTGTGAGTATACGAGAAGGTTCCTAACTCATTACAGAGGTCCTCATAAAGATTTTTGAGAAAACAAATTCGGGT